GGCAGGCAGGCAGGCAGGCAGGAAGGAAGGAAGGAAGGAAGGAAGGAAGGAAGGGAGAGCAGCCCCACATCACCAGGGAAATAGATACTTAGAACAAAAACATCCACTAACCTGGAGAGACTGATAAAAAAAATGGACAATACCAAGATTGACAAATGTGTGGGAAAACACTTCTTCAGCAACTGCTAGTGAATACAAAATAAGGGAAATGTGGGGAAATAGTTTGGGAGATCCTTAAAGGCTTCACATAATATGCTCCACACACAGTAAGAATCAGCCTTTATCCTATGCATTTACCCAAAAGAAAGTAATACATATGTCCATAAATGGGATGTGTCACTTGTACAAAGCAGCTTTATTCATAAAGCAAAACTTGAAACAACCTAAATGTTTATCATCACCAGCAGTTAAACAAACTGTGACATATTCCCACAAGAGAATAATAAAGGAACAGAACAAAAAATATTACTGACATATAAAAATCAGGGGTCAAGCTGAGCATGAAAGAACAAAATACACCGTTCTAATCAAAATATGCCAGACATGAGAGTACATATTGTATAATCTATTCATTTATAAATCCACAAAAGAAAAATCTAATTTATAATCCCAGAGAGCAGATAGGTCACTGAATAGAGCAGAGTACGAGGGCAGAGGTGAACTAGACACTTCTGATTTGTAGAGACTTTTTGGGTGAACACAGAACTATTCACGGTGACGGGCAGAGGTAAGCGGATATTCACACGTTTGTCAAGAACTTTTCAAACTGCAAACTTAAAGCAGCTGCCTTTTCCCTGTCTTGTAAGACATGTAAGATCATGTCTTGATCGTCATGTAAGAAAACCGACAGAAGTGGGTGAGGATATAACTCACCCCGCGTTCCTTCCTTCAGCTTTGTGGTTTACTACTATTCCCAGGCAGCAGACTTTTAAATAGTATAAGCAAAATGTCCTGGTGCCTTGTAACAGACATTATTCATTTTTAATAAAATCTCCACAACTTAAAAAAAATTAGGACTTTGACATTTTCCTTCTGCTTAATTTGAAATAAATTCAAATCTTTATAGGGCTTAAGGGAGTCCTAAATGATCTGGGCTTCCTCGTGGCCTAACTACCCAAGAGACAAGTCGGGGACACAGAGATGACACCAAATAACAGCAAATAATGGCCGAGTAGGCCTTGCTGAGCTATAGGCAGCTCTGAAGCACAGGCTTCCCCTTTCCTGCAAGATTCACAATGTACCTGAAAGGAGGCATGACCAATGCAGAGAAAAGGGAGAAAGGGACCAGCGTGTCCAGCCCTGTTTCCCACGCTCCTTCCTCTCCTTGGGAGGTGGGAGGGGATCAGGATTTCCCAAGAAACTGCCCATTTATCAGCTTTCCACCGCTCTCCAAGTACAACACAGGTAGCTCACACATAACACTCAAGAAGGCATTGTGCACTCGCTGCAGGATCACTGTGGCTCTTGCATTCATAGTGGCCCAACTCAATTGCATGCGGCTAAGGTACATGACTTCAGATATGATCTCCTTCGTTTCATTTTAACTTACATGGGTCGAGAGACCATTCACAAACTGTCATACTTTATTACTAGTTGAAAAGAGAATTTCTGTATGCTAAAATGGCACCCATCAGAGACTCCTTTGTTGGTTTAAAGTCATCTCAGAAAACCACATTTTAACACACACAGTGAAGATGATGATGATGATGGCTCTTGTGTTCACTCCTAACTCATCCAGACGCAGGCTATGTCGTGAAACCACAGCCTAGAGTGTCTATCACAGAGCGGGTTTTGAGGGGTTCCCCACAGAAGGAAATTAAAGAGCTGATTAATAATTCCCTTACTGCTAGGAAGGGGAACCAGCCCGTGAGTCACTGCATGAAGCATAATCTGCAAACTGATGGGGCTGCGCGGTCCTGCCACAATCATGGAAGTATCACTTTTCTAAGACAATCCCTTCCAACTCATTAGTTTTAGCCAAACAACAAGAGCAATCTAAAATACTTGCGTGCTTACGCTATCACCATCCTGTGTTGTCCATGGGCCCCAGCTGTAGGGAGTTCTGAAACGTCCCCCGCAGAACTTTTCAATTACATTAGATATTGAAGATACAACACTTTATCACCCAGGCGCCTGCACTCTAAAGGTTAACAGGAGCCTCAAGTTTTCAGGTATGGTCTCTACTGTACTTCTCTAACAAGTGTCTATACCATACAATTTTGAAACTAGAACCATACAAATCATATTCGATATAATTTTAACACTAATACTGTTGTTTAAGATAATTAAACATAATTATATCATTATCATGAGTGTCATTTTTCTCCAGGTTCATAAGAAGGCATTATTCTAATTAACAAGTTTAGTAAACTTTTACATACCATTACTCAAATCCCAGCAAAATAACCAATGCGTTTTTCTCTTCCTGCATGGACGTGTTAGCCAAAGTACCTTTGGTGGTCTGGAAAAATGAGCCTTTCTCCATAACTAAGTCTTCCTTTTTCTCCTCATCTTGTCTATTTTGCATTCTAGATCTGAGTAATAAGGAGACTAGCATGACTCACTAACGCCAAAAGAGTTGAGACAACAGGTTTAGTGGTCCGGAAGCAGCACGCAGGCCATGTGGAGTATTGCCCATTTTGAGGTTAGGCACAGACTCCATGTCAACAGCAATCTATAACTGACAACTGTCTTTCAGTATCACAGTATCTATTTCATTCAGATAAAAGGTTATGAAAAAAATCTTTCCTAAAATCAGAAGGAAGTGAGAGGACGCATTCCCAAACGAAGACAAGTTCTTCCTAGAAATGGCTAGCATTGACTACGCAGTGCACGTGGGAACCATACAAATGTTTCATGTATACTTTTACACAGAGAAAAATAAAATCTACCTAATTCTCAAAATCTCCAACACACAAGGGAAAGGCTATTTTTCACAAATTACACAATAAACAGATATATCCATATATCTGTTGCAAACGTGACGTACTTACTTCTCTAGCCATCTATCCTCTGAGAATATTCCTTGCTATTTAACAAAGTATTTTTTTTTCACTCATTCTAAAGCTGACCTCTCCATCCCAGGGGCTTATTTCTGGGGGTAATAAGGGAATATAACACTATTTAAAGCAACTGCTGATTTCTCCAACTGGAAAGAAAAAAAAAATGATCATTCCCCTAAAATACCTTCTAAAACATATCATCCTCACAAAAATGCTGTCCATAATTACATGTTCCAATTGGTTTTGTTAAGATTTCATAACACAACAGAAATAACTTTCATCTCCAATGGAAAAAAATTTTATCTTCCTGAGTATCAGGAAGAACAGCACCTGGCAGTTGTGCATGTTTTGTTTGAACTACAATATAGATGATAGAAACAGTCACCCACGGTAATAATAGTATTGGTTTGTGACTGTGAATGAGGATTTTTAATAAGCTTTTCTTCTTTGGTTGCTTTATTTTCCACTGTTTTTGTTTTGTTCTGAGACAAGGTCTTACTACATGTCACCCCAGCTGGCCGTGAGTTTACAAGTCCTCTGCCTTGCCTTCGGTAGGGCTGGGATGAGAGGCATTTGCTTCCTTATCATACCTGCTCCACACAAGGGATTACACTATCCATCACATTCCAGTTCTCTGCCTGTCAGTCATATACTGACACTCTAACAACATCAATGCCTTTTTACTTTAAAGACTGCTATTTTATACTGATGTGCAACTGTAACTATTTTTCATTTTATTGAATACTTCCACAAAAACATCTTTGGAAAGACATTTATAAACTCATCAGCTGTGACAGCTCCAGTCTGTATTCCCAGCAGTCCCAGATGCCGAGCAGGAAGAGTCTTGAGGCTAGCCTGAGTTACTATTGTTTTCTGGGCTCTTCATACTTGTAAAAATCAGAAAAAGAAATAGGAGGATTTTTCTCAGCAACAGAGTACTAGTCTAGCATGCTGGGGGCCTAGCTACATCCTCCCCGTAAAAGGAAAAAAGAAAAGAAACTCTGTTTTGACCAGGATAATGTAAGCGTAGAATTTACTGACAATCTCCAAATGTCATTCACATAAAAATGAATGACTTGTGACAAAGATGACTTGACCTTAACAATGAAATGAAACGTCACCCTGACATCAGTGTTCACAGTTAGCAAGTACTGAAGAAGACAGTTACCACCTTTTAACTTTAAAGTCAAAACATAAGCACAAATTAGAACAAAAATTCAAAGAAATGTTCAGGATCCACACATCTGCATGCATTAGGCAAACTTTCAAATATATCAAATACAACCAAATGATAACTTTGAATCAAGATGAATGTCAGAAATATTTAAGCTTGCACTAGTGCGGCAAGAAAAATGGAAAAGAGACAAATAGCAGATTTCTAGGAGGGAGAGAAATTACACACTTCCTCCATCATAAAACAAAAGTCTACAAGTCTACATTGTAGTAACACTGCCTGTCAAGTTAATCTCTATTCAAGAACACAATTTCCAAATTGTATCTTCAAATGTACTCTCCCAACAGTCAAATCAAACGCTTATCAGTCAAAACACATTTCACTTAAGATGCTAACCTTAAGTACAATTTGCTCGTCCAATCACTAAAGGATTCCACTACTTGATTTTTATATGCTTCATCTGAAAAACTCAAGTTTTGCCCTCCTCCTCCAGGGTAGATATCGTATGTCATCTAAGCATTAAGTAGCAACCAAAACAAAACAAAAAAAAAAAACCCTAGATTCAAAAACATCTTTTCACCGTGTATGCTTCATCGGGCTTTGATAAAGACAGAGCCATCTGGGGTGGAGGCTCCTTCTTCCTTCTCATTTACTATCTCCACAGTTCCAGAAGCTGACACAATAACCATGGTTTTATTTGCAGACACCGACTTCTGTTTCTCTGCAACAGCTGCACAAACAGCAACAATCTCGTCGCTTTCAAAGTCATAGTCAGGGATCGACTCTGGGGAGATGTCTGTTCCTTCGGGTGGAATTTCTTTCTTTTCAATCCTCCGAGCTACTTTCTGCTGCTCCTGGAGCTTTCTTGCCCATGAAAGGTCCTCCTTCCATATTTCTGGGTTCATTGGATATATGTGGAGGGCTACTTGAAAACTTCGAATTGCCTGGGGAGAAAAGATTTTTTTAATTTGTCTTATTTCTAAAAATCACCATGTTAGCTACAATTATATAGGTACAAGTGAGTACGGGTATACATGCATCCATACATGTCTACTCTAGCATACTACTATAGTTAATTTTCATCTGTACAGATGATTATGGTAGAGAAAAATAGAGGTGTGAGGGGAAAAGACTAAGAAAACACCAATGGGCTAAATAGCATTAAATTAGGGGCACTGGTACTAGGGCTTGAGCACCTTAACCGAATCATACACTATGATCACATAAGGTTTATCCCTTAGAGGTGGATCACACAGTTCAACATGCTATAACAACACACATGAAAGTCCTATCTAGCTGTGATGCCTCTGAACAAGAATCATCATGGCAAAATATTGCACCCTGAGGGTACACCTCATATCTTGGTGGTAACCAATAGCTATCTAATAGGATTTAAGGCCAGCTCAACAGCAAGGAAAAGGTACCTGGTAATAAAAACCTAGCCAACTTCCTGGGGCTAATGAGTCATAGATCTTAGAGGAGAACCTACTACTACTACTTTAATAAATCAACACAGTTTACAACTGCACTTTAAATGCTTATTCTTATGCCCACAGATAAGTGTAGTTCTCACCATTCATCAAAGAAACTTCTCTGCAACAGACAGAGACCATTACAGAAAACCACAACTGGTCAAAACGCATGGAACAACTGACCATGAGGTTCCCGGCCCCAGTACATAGCCACAACACAACTTCAGAAACTAAGGCCCAAGGGCCATCAAGAAGAGAGGGACAAAAGACTAAGGGCCATAGAACTAGGAAATATGCTGTGAGAGTGTATTTTCTATAAAAGACAGAAAAGCTTCATCCATCATAACTCAACAATATGGATACCTAAATAAGACCAAGTACAATACCAACAGACATGGTAACATGGAATAGAAAAAGAACTACAGGAGAATAAGGAATCCTGAAAGAGGGAGACATAGTCATCCCCAGAAATGAACACCCTAACTGGCTATCTGATACCAACTGGTCAGTCCAAAATCACATCATGCAATTAACACTGAACAGACTGAGTAGATTATATTTATGTACTTGTGAATTTACATATAATAAGCACACGTGCGCATACACACATATACACACAACAACAAAGAAGAAGAGGTCATGAATTTGAGAGGAGCAAGTGGAGGGATATAGGAAGGGTTGGAGGAAAGAAAGAAAAAATGATGTAATCACAATTTTTAAAACATCAAATTAGAAAAAGATGAAATACAAATAGCCAATATAAACATGAAAGAACGTTCAGCCTCATTAGCTATCAGAGAACACAAATCAAAACCCAGTGATAATCATTCATGAAAAGCATACAGGAGTTTTAGGGGGAAAAACAAATTAGAAACTGATCTATTATTTGGCCCAATTTTGATCCCACTACAACACTCCTGGTATTTACTCAAAGGACACCAAATAGACACATCACAGATATACTTATGTATTGATATTTATGCACAATTTTCACAAGAGCTAAGTAGGAAACAGCCCAGGTATCCAACAACGAGAAAGGAAAATGTGGTGGGTATATATATATATATATATATAATGCATATTTTAGCTATAAAGAATGAACTTATATTGTTTTTAGGAAGATGAATATGACTAGAGACAGCCATATTCAGGGCATTAAGTCAGTCTCAGAAAGACAAATATTATATATTTTCTGTCAGCTATTGGTCCTAGATTTTATAAAGTCACAGAAAACAATCTATGTATGTATTTCTGTAGAGGAACAATGTGGACTAAAGGGTGGGATACCTGAGAAAAAAGAAGACAGAATACAGGAACACGAGATGAGGCAGTAAAGGGTGTGCTCAATATACAATATGCATATAGAAGAAACTTATTCTAAAAATCAAAATATAATGAAATTTGAGCATTATAACAATCAAATTTCTTTACCAGGACTATCTCTCCTAATCCAAGCTGAGCACGACCTAAAGTCTGCCAAGACTCCCATGAGTGTGGGTTACGCTTGACAGCCATTTCGGCTGCATGTACTGCTGGAAACATTTCATGAAGGGACATCAGGACCTATGTGCCAAAAAGAAGAAGAAACAAAACCTGTCATGAGCTTATGCAGTATAAACTAGCAAAGTACTTGTAGATAATTATATGCAAGAAATGATTTTCCTTTACAAAATATATTTTAATCCGGCATACAGCATTTCCATGGATTTTATCCCCTAATTGACATTCAGTATCAGAAATTCTAGACCTTTTCTTACTCCCCAAATAAGTAAAAATATAAAGTGTCTCTATGTCCATCTAATCAAAACCAAGTGGTTGTGCTCCGGCCACAGCAGCTCAAGGCTGTCTGAAGGCAACTTTCATTTACAGTTACTCTAGTACAATGTAATTTTTGGGAAACACAAGTCTTGCTGCTAAACCTAGATAAATGAATTCATTCAACCAGTCATCCAACAATAACAGTTTACCTGCTGTGAGAATTAAACACCCTGCAGGCCTCAGAACTGGGCTTTTTAAGCCACACATATCAGAAAATTCACAGAACTAGAGACCCAAACGTCCATGGAAACAGTTATACTTCATCTGTATCCTTTGAGTCCATGAACATTTTGGAACATTCTTGACACAAACACCATTCTTAATGTTCTAAATTAAACTCTTCGTATAGTTCCCATGAATCTTCCCCTAATCTGCACATATTTTAGTCCTGAATGTGAAAGCTTTCAAAGGAAGGGCTTTAAGGAAGCTGCTTCAGTGGAACCAATTTATTTGTGTTCTTCCTCAATAAAATAAAGCTATTAAAGCATGTGACTTTCATTTCAGAGTATTACATGAAAAACACTTGTTAATATACATCAAAGCTGAACTGCAGTAATTTTTTAGAGGCTGTTTTGCTGCTTTAATTTTGTGAGTTTCCCTATGGAGCTCAAGCTGTCCTGGCACTCCTGACTCTCCTTGCCTTAGTCTCCCATAGTGCTGGGATGGAGCATGTGCCACCACACCCGGCTGTCTGAGACAGTCAATATTCCTTAGATAAGTAGTTCAGGTGGTCAGAGGCTCTCTATACAGAGGGTCACCACTAAGTACTAGAAATGCATATTTAATACAAATGCCAGTTTCTTAGCTGATAATCACATCTTTCCCAGCCTTTTTGCCCGGATCTATGCAATTTATTTTCTTTTCATCTCATCTGTATTTACCTCTTAGGCAGATGTGACTTGGGAACTCCACTTCCATCCATAAGCTTTACTTAGTTACTGCTGGGTTGGCTTTACAAGACCTAGGGAGGTTTAATGCCTTGTTTCTCGTACTTCTTTAGAGCAACAAGCCCTGTGGGGAATTCTTCCTATCAAGTTGATTTAGCTTACATACTGAATTATGTAAGATTAGTGCATGCAGAAATAACAAGAGGGGATGGAAACACTGAAAAGGGGATCTGATGTAGGTGGGCCTTCTGTTATGTGTTATTTTCATTGGTTAATAAAGAGACTGCCTTGGCCCTTTGATAGGACAGAAAATTACGTAGGCAGAGTAAACAGAACAGAATGCTGGGAAGAGGAAAATGAGGCAGACGCCATGGAGCCAGCCACCAGGTCAGACATGCTGAATCTTTTCCGGTAAGCCACCACCTCGTGGTGCTATACAGATTATTAGAAATGGGTTAATCAAGATGTGAGAGTTAGCCAGTAACTAACTCTCTAGAGATAATGGGCCAGGCAGTGTTTAAATGAATACAATTTGTGTGTCGTTATTTCCGGGGTTAAGCTATGCGGGAGCCGGGCAGGACGAAAAGCAGGCCTGTCCGCAGCTCTTCACCACAGGGATCCAAGAAGATGAGCTCAAGGCATTTTTTTTTCTTTTAAACATCAAGATAAATATCTCAGAACACTTCAGTGGTGAGATTCGGTCTAGGAATTCAGCTTGCTATCGACCACGAAACAGGTTATCCTACTTCCAACAACAAATGTTCCACTTACCTGCTCAAATAAGCCAAGGCAAAACCACAAAAGGTATTGCTAGCTTTCCTTTAATACCTAAGGAGAAAGAACCCTTATCTTCCCTAGTTATCATGTCACAACGATATTTTAATTAACAAAAATAAAAAAGAAAAGAAGGTGAGTATTGAAGATGTAGCTACATGCTTCTTCTGACGAAGCTGCCCTCCCCCATCTCCTCCCAGGGTGGCATCTCTTCAGTTACAGCAGCAGGATCATCTTAGACAGAGTTTGGTCATCCTCCGAATCCTGTTAGCATGTGTCTGGAGACCTTCCAGACTGAAAGCAGAAGCCAGGAGCACAGTTTCATGCAGCAAGATGACCAGACACTTCAGAGATGGGTCATTCTTGTCAGCCTTCACCTTCTGCTTTTCAGAAATGGAGTGGTCAGGGTGCACCCACAGGTGTCATTGCTGCCACGTAACTCACCACTGATTTGTCTCTTAAGGCTGTCCTCTTCCATGTTTGCCGTCCATTCCTATGTGGTTGTGACATACAGCCTGGGAAGTTACCAATAAGTCTGATATGACTGCCTTTTCCACCTTTATCTCCAAAATGTCTTTCCATAACTTAGTAGAAATTTTGTCTTTTCCTCCTCTTTTATTTTTTTTCTTTCTTTCTCTTTTCTTCATCTTCTGGAAGTTCCACTCCCTCTCTCTTTGGTGACTGACACTAAAATCCCCTGTTTCAATCCCTTCAGCTGTTGGACACAGCCCTTATGGGCTTTACCAGTTGCTGCAGTTCTAAACCAGTTCTCTAAGCTTTTGGAGACGTTTCACCAAGGCCAAGTAGCTACAAAGTACTTGGTCTCACCTGTGCCGAAACAGAAGCGTTTCTAGTTTTCTTTTATGCTGGTACTACAGCCTTCCTAGGAAAACGACCTCACCTCCAGAGCAGATGTGGAGCACTGTAACAGTTCTGAAATCCTCTTGCAATTCTGAGTCTTCAATGATTTCTAAGTTTTATTTTTCAAGAACTGTTCATAAAAGTTTTATCTTCTGTCAGGTCACTGAGCAATTCTAAGCAATTTTTGAGCAATTCTTTTTGATAACATTCAAGTTTTGATTTGTAACAACTTACCACAGTTGTAATATCTCCCTATTTAGAGTCTGCCAGTCCTGTAATGACAATCAGATACTCTGGAATTATTTACTCTTTATAGATAGACATGATGGAAATAGCATATATACAATTTAATGTTACGCTTTTTTTTCCCCGTTTTCAAATAGATCAAAAGAAACATGTCTCGGGACAAAAAATAAGCACTTAGAATTCCAAAAGTCCTTCAACAGAAAAGTGCTTCACTGCCAAGTGTGCATCCCAATCGCTGGTCAAGCTCTTAAAAACCTTTCAATGCCCCTCATTAATAATGTCATCAGGATTTCTGGTCCAAATAGGATTTGCTTTGTTGAGTGATTCTTAATCGATGCACCTTTCCTTAATCTTGTTCTTCTTGTCACTATTCTCCGTCCCCTCCCTCCTCCTCACTCCCACTCCTTCTCCACCCCCTCCTTCTCCTGCATGAACAACTTCTATTTAAGGTTTGTCACCAGGCTTCTTTTCTTCCTTGTCTTCAGCCTTATATAATCACTGACTTCTTCATCATACTCTTCCAAAAGAGAGCAATGGGCTAGCCAATAAACTGAGAACACTTCTTCATAATCTCTTTTATTACTCTTTCCTCTGAGAACTCAGTCTGGTCTTTTTTCAGAGATAGGCTAGTCTTTGTTCCAAGGCCCACAGGTCCCCTGTGACAGTCTTTACTGTGAATGATCACTCTGCTAAAGATTCCCAGGCATGCTGCTCACCATTACAGGTTTGGTGACCACAGTCACTTTCTGAACAATGAAATACACGATAAAAACGAAAACCAAATTAGCCAATCACAAAATTATCTGCACCAGCCTGCAAAGCACCCATGAAGGCTTTCACAAATGTACTTTTGGCAACCTTACCAAAGTAGCTGATCAAGTCAACATTGGTCATTCTATAGTGAGAGCTTGATCCTGTTTGTTAGAAATAGAATTAACAAGGAACTCTTTCCCATAGTATTGTTTCTAGGATCTGTTATGCTCTCACATTTGATTTATACAGAGCATCTGATAAATCTGAAATGAATGCCCCAAGAAAGATCTGTTTAAGTAGAAATTATTGATAATCAAGTGACTTTAGATGGGCAATTTGTACATGAAAGGCAGTTTCAACCTCTGTTCCTCCATTGGTCAGGCTTAGGTCTGGGTTTCCTCAAACATCTTCACTGAGTGACTAGTACATGCTCCACTAGGAGTAGCTCTAGGTATGCTGGAGCAGCAGATCCATACCATTTAAATACATACATACATATATGTGTGCGTATACATACACACATATATACACATACATGTACACCTATATATGTATGTGTGTATATATGTGTATATGTGTGTGTATATATACACATACATGTATAACTATATGTGTGTGTATGTATGTGTATATGTGTATACACATACACATATTCCAAATACAATGCATCCTCACTTTGAAGAAAAACTAGCTACTGGTAGACAATTAATTTATAACCAAAGTAGAAACTTGTCATCTATTTAAAAAATGTATTAATAATTTTATCTATGTTATATCTTCTTGAAGCTAGACTGAAATAACAGTTGACCTCATTGCAAAAGCAAATGCATTTCTAACTTTATACACAAAACAACATTTTAAATAATATTTTTAAAAATAAATTGTATTAAAAAAGAGATATGAGAGATATGAGAGCAGACATATTTGTTCAGCAATGTTCACCGAACAAACACAGCCTAATTATACAGTAAAATCAAACTCCTTATGGCTGGTACCTGTGATTTCATCTCATAAAGGGTGGCATCATCTGGGGTCAGCTGCAGTGCTTCATCCCACTTCTGAATTGCCTCCTGGTATCTGTAATTGTTAAAGTTACATTAGTTTCATTTTGAATTATTTTGTTTTTCAAGACAGGGTTTCTCTGTAGCTTTGGAGCCTGTCCTGGAACTCGCTCTTGAGACCAAGCTGGCCTCAAATTCACAGAGATCCACCTGCCTCTGCCTCCCGAGTGCTGGGATTAAAGCTGTGCACCACCACCGCCCAAATTTTTTTTTTGAATATCATATTTAACTAAATCTTTGAGAGTGCATGTTAAATTTGAAAACTGGGAACTTGAAAATAATTACTAAGAAAATTTCCTATTTAGAAATTGATAATAATACTATTTTAAAAAAACCTTAGGCAAATTAAAGAAATAAAAGGAAAAAGCAACAAGAGAAAAGGACAAAATATAAATAAGAGATCTTACAAATCTCTTTCTAAGATTTTGAAGCCCAGGCTAGCAAGATGGCTCAGGGGATAAAGCCTAACCCACAGGTTCAATCCCTGTATCTCACATAGAGGTTTAAAAAAAAACCTAACTCTACGCACTTGTCCTCTGACCTACAAACACACACCATAGCAGGTATAAACACATAATTAATAGTAATAATAAAAATACATTTTAAAAGAGATTTGTGAGCTGAAAAATCACTACCAAAATGTCTTTATTTATTTATTTATTTATTTAACTTCACTGATGGGATCTGTACTCTAACAACTTTGTCTTAAATATTTGCAATCCAGTTCCATGCTTAAGTTCACCTACAAAAATCTACTTGGTAGAGATGGCAGTCTGTCCTGGCTAGATTTATGACAATTTGACACATCTAAATTCATCTGAGAGGAATAAACCTCAACTGAGCAAACGCCTCCAGATGACTGGATTGTAGGTAGGCAAACCTGTAGGGCATTCTTAATTAATGGTTGTTGGGGGAGGGTAACAGCATTGTGGGTGAGGCCACTTCTGGGCTGGTAGTCCTGGGCTCTGTAAGAAAGCAGGCTGAGGAAGCCAGTAAGCAGCACACCAGCATGGCCTCCGAATCAGCTCCTGCCTCCAGGTCCTGTCTTGTTTGAGTTCCTGCCCTGAAGCTTTAATGGCAAACAGTGATGTGGAAATGTAAGCAAAATAAGCCTTTTCCTCCCCAAATTGCTTTTGGTCATAGAAAGGACAATTATCTATTTTTGTTCATAACTATACATATATGGCAAGCTTAAGAGATGGGTGAAATGCACCCAAAATAATATGCAGATGACTGACTTCTAGTATACTGTGGTTTGAATGTGTTATGTCCCTTAAAGGTGTCTTTATGAACACTTAGTCCAGATGGTTGCACTAAAGTTGTGGAACCTTTAAGAAATAGGTCTCTAGGGGCTGACCTAAAACACAGTACACAGCCCTTTGTCCTCTTCCACCAGAACGTGCGACATGAGGAGTCCCAGCTGCACACTCCTGCCAATGTGGCGCTACCTTCCTGCTCCCGAGGCAATGCTGCTGAGCACTATTCCTGTTTCCAAGTACCTGCACCTGTCTGCAACCCAGGGCTGTGAATCACTGACAATATACGCCAGTCAGGATTATCATGCACTAAAATCTCTTAAATCATTTCTTGCTACTTGTTTTCGAGACCCTTCATTTCCTCAGCATGTGCTCTGTATGTACAATGATAAACAACTGTTACTGATTGGATGGATGGATGGATGGATGATGGATGGATGGATGGAGAGAGAGATGTATGCAAGCGTTGATGTGTGTGGAGGTCATAGGAAGGTATCCTCCTTTATTGCTCCTGCCTTCTTCATTTGAGCTAGGTCCTTTCTGAGCCTGAAACATCCCGTTTCTGTCACGTTAGCTGGCCAGGGAGCTCCTGGGATCCACTATCTCCCAGCCAACAATGCTGGGGTTACAGGTACACATTGCCATGCCCAGTTTTTAAGTGAGTGCTGGAGATCTGGACTGGGTTCTCATGCGTATCCAGTAAGCATTCCTCCAGACTCAGTCACCTCCCCATCTAACCACATAGTGTTATTGAGATTTTAGATGATGCACTATGCAAGGGCAGAAGTTTTAAAGGGGCATACGGGAGTCTTAAGACTCAATTAAAAATATAATTTAAAAGGGGGAGTTAGGGCTATACCCACAGTCATCATACATGTGTTTTATTTTAAATTTTTAAATGTTTAAAATGTAAATGTCTGTGAGCAATCTGCCCTGAACAGATTTTGGCATGAAAGCACCACCACATAATTGACCCAGGTATAATGGGTAAATAATGGTGTAAATCCATCTACTGGTTTATGGGAGGATCCCGACAATGTTTTGGTATGGGGAAAGGGCAGGTTTGTGTTTTTTCACAGGATAAAATTGAAGCTCAATTGATATGGTATCTGGATCCAAAAAATACTGATCCTGATGTTGCTGAAGATAACCCAGAAAAGCCAGAGTGAGACCTACTGGGTCTATGTTCCTGATTCACATAATTTACATCCTGCTGTTTAGGAAGGAAAGGAGACTGTGGTCGCAGTCAATGATAACACAACTTTTAGATCGACCTGCCACACAAGAGTTCCAGATTACTTGAAAATTTTATGTTGGGTATGGCAAAGAATTCCTGTATGTTTTGCAAAGAATGTTGCTTTAGAGAGATGGCCTTGGAGTGCTTCCAAAACTAATAATGGGACATGATAAACAATGTACATATTATACCAAGTTACTACTTCCTCAAGGTAATTGGGTAAATGATACTTCACCTCCTCAACGATTTCCTCCACACACAACGGAATTGTGAGAGTCTAAAAGAACTCCAATGTGGAGACAACGTACTAGTATTATCCCATTAAAGGACATCTCCGTACATTCTTGACTGCTCTGGAAATTAAGATTGTAGTGACTCTTATCCTTTATCTGCAGCAGAATCTTGGAATTGAGAACTGTCAGGTAGAATTTGGTATTTTAATACAAAATTTCACAGACTTATGTTTGGAAACTTGCAGCTGCCGTGGGGAAAGTGCCAGGACAACCAGTTCCACAAAACCTGTTTGCCCCCGAAAGGAACTGTTTGGGCTTATGTCAAAATGCCTTATGTTCTTTTAGTGGAAGAGATAAAAAAATCTCCATAAATGATATTGTGTTTAATGTATCATGCCCTATTGTATTTTGACTAATTATATTTCTCAAGTGGAATGAATGACAGTGTATTGGTTTAAAACAACCTTCTTTTGTAATGTTGCCTGTGGATGTAAACGATCCATGGTTTGATGACAACAGGTTACAAGTAATTAAAAAAATTTAAAAAGCTAGACATTCCCCGACCCCCTAGACTCCCTGGTCACTTTGCAGGGGCAGCTCCACCCTGCTAAGCTCTCTCGCCTCCTACCCCTTCCCAGATTTCACCCAGGTGCCCCTTCCTTTATTCCTCCCTTCTTCCTGGGGCCATAAAATTCCCCAGCTCAGCTCCCTTGCATGCTGGGACTGGGCTGTAAGCGCAACCCAGCAGGAGAGAGTTCCTGTGTTTCAATAGCCTGCCTGCGAAAATGTAGGCCTTCTGTCAGTGAGGTCCCTGCCCAACAAGGGAACCTGACCCGGTATCAGAAGATCCAATAGAGAGCATTTGAAGGAAGAGATGGGCAGACGCCAAGGCAAGAATTCCTCCAACAATCTGAAAAACATGAAAACACCAGAACCCAGCAACCCTACAACAGAAGGACTTGAACACCTTAATCCAGAAGAAGTGGGAAAAAATGCCATTATGAAAGCAATAGAGTCCCTTAAACAGGATATGAATAACTCCCTTAAAGAATTGGATGAGAAATATAACAAAAAGTTTGAAGAAATGAGTAAAGAAATGGATGAGAAATATAACAAAAAGCTTGAAGAAATGAGTAAATCCGCAAATGATACCCTGGGAAACCAAGAAAAAACAATCAAACAGGTAATGGAAACAGTTCAAGAATTGAAAACTGAAATGGAGGCAATGAAGAAAACACAAACCGAGGGTCAGCTGGATATGGAAAACCTAGGTAAATGAACAGAGACTACAGAATCAAGCATAACCAATAGAATACAAGAGATAGAAGAATGAATCTCAGATTCTGAAGACGCCATAAAGAAAATAAACGCTCTGATCAAAGAAAACAGCAAATCCAACAAATTCTCATCACAAAACATTCAAGAAATCTGGGACACAATAAAAAAACCAAATCTAAAAATAACAGGGATTGAAGAAAGAGAAGAATTGCAGATCAAAGGCCCAGAAAATATATTCAACAAAATTATAGAAGAAAACTTTCCCAAACTAAAGAACGATATTCCTATGAAGGTTCAAGAAGCATACAGAACACCGAATAGACTTGATCAAAAAAAACAACCCTTGCCATATAATAATCAAAACACAAAACATACAGATTAAAGAAATAATATTAACAGCTGCAAAGGAAGAATGTCAAGTAACTTATAAAGATAAACCTATCAGACTTACACTGGACTTCTCTATGGAAACCATGAAAGCCAGAAAGTCCTGGATAGAGGTACTGTAGAAACTAAGAGACCATGGATGCAAGCCCAGACTACTATACCCAGCCAAGCTATCGTTCACTATCAATGGAGAAAACAAAATATTCCAGGATAAAAACAAATTTAAACAATTCGTAGCCACAAATCCAGCCTTATAGAAAGTAATAGAAGGAAAATCGCAACCCAAGGAATCTAACATTGCCAACACTGCCTACAATAACTCAGACATCTAACGACCCTTCACAAGCACAACTCAAAGAAGGGAAACACACAAACTCTACTACACAAAAAATAAATAAATAAATAAATAAATAAATAAATAACCGGAGTCAACAACCACTGGTCATTAATATCACTTAATATTAATGGACTCAACTCACCTATAAAAAGGCACGGACTAAGAGATTGGATACGAAAACAGGATCCAACATTCTGCTGTTTACAAGAAACACACCTCAACCACAAAGACAGACATCTACTCAGAGTAAAGGGCTGGGAAAAGGTTTTTCAAGCAAATGGACTCAAG